CACACACACACAAACACACAGACACACACACGCCTTACGGTGTCTGTGCGGAGGGTGGACATGGATGTGGAGAAGGTGGTGTTCACAACGGAGAGTGCGGAAGAGAGCGCAACAATGTCGTCCGTGTTATCAGCGAGCAAATCCTGTGCCTCCTGCACGGATACGGCGAGCTTGCTGATCTCATCTGCCAAGCCGCTGGCGCTCACATCCTGCAGCACAAGTTGCACATGACAAGTGAATGGAGGGCGTGGTTCACACAAACAACAAGCTGTAGCACAAGCACACACATACACACAAGCACACACGCACACACAGCAAACACACAAGCACACACACACACACACAAAAGCACACACAACAAACCCACAAACACACACATGCATAAACGCACAAGCACACACGCACACACAGCAAACACACAAGCACACACACACACACAACAAACCCACAAACACACACATGCACAAACGCACAAGCACACACACACAACAAACACACACACACACAACAAACACACAAGCACACAAGCACACAAGCACACAAACACACACACCAGGCCAGCATCTGTGCTGTGAAGGACGACGTCGTTTCCCCAGATATGAACCTCTCCATTGTCAACTCTCATGTATGGCTCATTGCTGCTCGGGTCTTCCACGGCAAGGACAACCGCAGGCGGGAGCGCAGCTACGAGCACCCCCAGCACCACACACACACAAACAGCAACCCGCATCATCATCATCGTCGTTCTTGGTGGCGAGGTCGGCGAATTTCAATGGGCAACATTCACAAATCGCCAAGACTTGCAAGTTTCTGACCAACAAGCAGCAACGATGATGACGATTGGGCTGTGGTTGGCGGTGACTGTGGCTGTGGTGGGTGCGCTGCATGCACTCGTCAGCAGCAAGGTACCCGAGCCCTACATGGATGAGCAATTCCACTGCCCACAGGCTCTTTTCTACTGTAATGGGCAGTTTGACGTCTGGGATCCCATGATTACCACGTTTCCGGGCACGTACGTCCACTGGCATGCTGCTGTGCGACTTGAGTCGACCTGATATGTCAATTGCGTCGTGCTGATGTGATGTTGTGCTGATGTGTTGCTGGTGTTGTGTTGATGTGTTGCTGGTGTCCTGCTGCTTTGTGCAGGATGTACCTGTTGTACCTGTGCTCTCGTGGTTATGTTACATTTTCTTCGTGCTCAAGCCCATGATCTGTGCTTCTGGTTAGTTGATTTGTCTCTCTCTGTCTCATGTATTTCCCGTGTTCGGGTCTTTGTTGCCTGTGTTGGCAGGTACCTACACAGCACAGCGATGGCCAACCTTGTGACACGTGTCGCCAAGTGGCTGGGGGCAGAGTGGCTGTCCGACATCAACTTCGTGTGTTCCCCTGTGGGGCTGCGGATTATCAACTCGCTCTTTACTCCAGCCATCATCTGGGTTGCTTTCCGAATCAGACAGCGTCTTTACCCCAAAGTGCGTCTGTGTCTGTGTGTGTGCGCGTGTGTCTGCCTGTGTGCGTGTGTCTGTCTGTGTGCGTGTCTGTGTGCCTGTGTGTGCCTGTGTGCCTGTGTATGTGTGTGCACGCAGCGAAAGGCACACGTCGGGCGCTCGTGGTTGAAGGTGTTGCTCTGGGGTGTGCCCACATGCTGAAAGTGAGAGTTCAAATCGAGAAGGGGCTGTTGATTTCTCGTCAATCATCAACACTGATACACGTGACTCCATTTCCTCCAACTTCGCACACGTGTGGCTCCATTTCCTCCAACTTTTACACATCCCCACTCACAGGAGAATGCGTGGACGCAGGCGCTGAGCGCCACGTTGGTGGCGTGGATGCCTGTGCTGTTCTTCTTCAATGCGCTGTACTACACCGACCTGGGCTCTGTGTTCTATGTGCTGCTGAGCTACCTGCTGCTGGTCGAGAACCGCCCTATGCTCAGTGGTATTGCTGG